AAGTCAAACAGAAAAGAGGAACAGCAGAGCATATAAAGACGGATGTGAAAAAAAGAGTTAGTTGCTGTAACCAAGAACTCGCATGCTATCTAACCTTATTCCGATTCTATTTATTAAGTAGGGCTGCGTTGGCAGACAGCATCAGCGGACCCTCGCCCCAAAAATGGCGTTATACGCAGTGGCTAATCACTTTTTCCAGTGGGTGACCCTGGCTCAAAGACCGCTCTAAAAATAAGCGTTGCTTGTCTTTGCTCTCATACTACCTTTAACATCATTTGATTGAATAGATCGCTGTGGTAAGATGCGGCTTTTGAGGGGTAAGTCACCAAATGATGTTTGTTGTAAAGGCCAGAACAAAGGTAAAATACCGAAACATCAGCCATAAACATAGTTCATAACATCTTGGCTAAGCTAATGCAAAGAACATTATCAAGATAACATGAGATTCAAAAGCGGTATGACATTCGAACTTCTAAAAGCAATCTTTAGGTTTGTTTTAGTTCTTTGATGTGGCACACTATCGTGAATAATGGCATTAATGAATAACAATTAAATATGCAGATGATGCTTCACTGGTACTAACTTCTATCTGGTCATTTTTTGGTTTTTGAAAATAAGCTAACTGTCTCCATTGAGCGAAATCAGTTTGATGGTTAATACTCCATTCATGCTGAGCGTCACGAATTCGATTCCACCCCGAGTCCAACTTTTTCGGCAAAAATTTGCTCACGATCTCAGCGTGAGGCTTCCCTTCCGAAGAAGAGCATGCGACAAGCCGGCTTAGAATCACCACGTCGCATCACTATATCAGACATGTCTCATATAGAATCTCGAGTAAAGGCTAGGGCGTCCACGGAAGCAACAAGCGTTCGAGCCCGACGAATGCGACTTGTGGGCGAGAGTTTCCGTCTCAGCAAGGTAAACAGAGACGGCTAAAGTGGCTACTTCACCAGAGGCAACGATCCAAAACCTCGTAAACCCTTCGTCTAGCTGCCGACGTGGGTACTCTCACGGGGCGCTGCAGGGAGTTGGCTGATCTCCTAAAACGGCCACGAGGGGGTATCGCCATAACAAGAAGCAAAGTGGAAAGGAGCAAAGCCACGCAAAATCGGAGACGGATATAAGCTCCTTTAGAACGTACAAACAGCTATAGAGGTGTAGTTAGTATAGCTGTCTAGACTCTGAGGAGCAGTATAGATGACGTTGAGCGAATAAGAGACTGTCTCATGAGCAAAAAGATAGACACTGGGAGACAGTCTTACGAGTCGTAACTGATAATGCATCACAGGACGGATGTAGGGACGATAAAGTGGAGGCATTTTGGCAGAAGTTTAATGGCTATATCAATCCAATACGACACGAGACGCTTCTGCTAGGAGCACCTAAATGGACATGTGAAAAAGCGAGAAGGAGCTGGGAGTCACGTTCAGTCGCGATTGGTATGGAAAGTGCAGTGAAGAAGATGAGCGCATCTAGAGACGACCTAGCTTTAGCAGACAGCTACTTCACCAAGAAGTATGACGACTTGATTATTTACGTCAGGAAAAACCGACGAGTGCAGATAAGACTACTGGGCTATTCGACAAAATGACCTCAAAACGTAAAATTCTGCAAAGTCATCTTTAGTGAAAGCTGCATTTTTCCACTAAGACCACTGCTAACTGACTCTAAAATCCCGGCGCACAACAAGCTACAGATACTAAGATGCGCATTTAGTGGTGGAAAAAAGACCAGTACTTATGCAGGCGCTGCAAGCAACTGTCACAAATTTGCAGGAAAGCCCAGAACAATCCTGGACAAGCCTGAAAACTCCGATCCATCGAGTAGCCATCACGGTTTTCGGAAGTACTAAGCCAAAAGAAAAATGGACAGGGAAACATGGTGGTGGAATGACGAAGTGCAAGCAGCAGTAGGACGAAAGAGACGTGCGTACAAGCAATGACATAAGACGAAGTTGAAGGCAGATCATCAATCTCACCAAGCACCTGAGACACTGCGAAAGAGTTTGTAAAGAAAGCGAAGCAGATTTGCATGAAAGAGCTCTACAACAAATTGGGATCCCGAGAAGGAAAACGAGAAATATACCGCTTGGCGAAAAGAAGAGCAGAGTCTACAAAGGATATAGAAACTTCCTCCATATCAAAGATGAACTTTGTAGGACATTAAAGGCAGTGTCCAAACAAAAGGTCGGTTCTGAGATTATGTGCTTACCTGGGCCTATTCGCTGTGCTGAATCCGAATATTAACACCGGAAAGCACGAAAACGGCGAAAAAAGGCTCTAACGGAGGAGGGAAATTGCAGGTGGGCGGGGCTGTTCACATAGTGGCGTCACTTTCCCAGCTTCGGGAGCGATCTTCTCGCTTTCTCTAACCGCACTAACATCACCACCACCCAACCGCGAAACGCATGACATAAAAATCGGAACCGAGAAGAACGCTTCTAAAGCCTGGGAGAGTGACGTCGCGGTGTGAACGGCTCCGCCTACCTGTGATTTTCCTCCTACGGGCCCTTTTTTGACGTTTTCGCGCCCTCCATCGTGGTTTATCGGATTCAGCATGGCGAATAGGCCCGAGTAAGCACAAAATCTCAAAATCCACTTTTTGCTTGTACACTGCCTTTAAGAAGGCCACGGGACATCGTCAAAGGATGGCGAACATACTTCGGAGGAACGCCTACCACAAGCCGCACTATTACCTCCATGCTATAGAACCTGCAAGCACCAGTGCCAGCATTTGCAGCAGAAGAAGTATGCGAATCTGTAGCAAAAACAAAGAACGATAAGGCAGCTGGTCTGGACGATTTACCACGGAGTTCTGGAAGGCTGTGGACAGTCTGGAGCCTGTTGGCTTTGGAGTACCCTCAGTCAAATCATGAAGGAGTATGTCTCTTGAATGGTACACCAGACAACAATCCCGATAAGGATGAACAAAGGAGACATCGCAAGCTGCGCATCATCGATCCATCCGACTGATGAGCCACTCTAAGATTTTCAAGCGAATATCGAAGACGAATTCGAGTGTCACAGAGCAAGTCAGTGCGGATTTGTGAAAGGAGTAGGCACATTGATGCCAATCGCTCCACTTCGGATTGTAATGGAGAATTGTAAAGAAGGCAGAGGGAGTTGCAAGCAACTTTTCTGAACCGCGAAAAAGCCTTCGATAAGATGCGTCGTGAAGTCATATGGTGGACGACGAAAGTGCATGACGTCGGAAGAGTGCGTCTAAATGGATCAGGATGATCTATCACCACGCTTCAAGCCATGCAAACAGCTGCAGGACAATCGAATGAGTTCCAAATCCAGACACAACGACGGTGTACACCAGGGATCAGTTCTTGTTCTTCACCACTGTGATGAACGCGTGATGGAACACTGAGACCTGTACTCCTTGGAAGATACTTCTCTATGCAGACGATGTGGTTTTGATAGCAAGTCCAGAAAGGAGCTACAAGACGAAGTACAAAATACGAAAAACAGGATGGAGTTGTATGGCTTAGAGCTCAACACTAGGAAAACAAATACATGGAAGTGGGAAAACAAGTGCCAGATACCATAAGCATCGATGGCGAAGAGCAAGAAGACAACGTCATACGAGTACCTAGGCAGTCACATTTCAGCGGAAGGAGGCCTACAAAAGAAGGGTGCACTCAGGATGAACACAGCATAGATGAAATGGAAAGCTCTGACAGGATTGCTGTGCGGCAAAACAATACCAGTGTATCTCAAGTCCCAGCTGTACCGGCCAACGGTCCTGTATCCGCCCAGCAGCACTGTAGGCAGAGAGTGCTGGCCTTGTATGTGGAACGAAGAGCGCAAGCTTAGTACCATGGGAATAAGGATACTGCGGTGGGCTTAAAGGCAGCGGCTCGGCAGATTGACCTACCTCAGATTTTGACACAGATGGATAGGAGGCCCTCCAAGTGAACCAAAACAGCAACTCCGCGCCGAAAATGTGAACTCTGCAAGCCAGGGGGCAGCCCAAGCGCCGCTCCCCTTCCTCCTTTCGCTCCCCTAACACCTTGTTCGGACGAGTATTCTCCACTAGACGGCGCGGGACCCTCCAACCGCTTCCCCGCATTGTGCATGCTATACAAAGCCAAAATTACAGGCAGCAGGGTCTTCGTGCCAGGGCCTCCCGACTTTCCTTTACAATTCTCGTCCGAGCTGACTTTTGGAAATTGAAAAAAAACGCCCCGAAAAAGGCCTTTTCACCCCTTTTAAAGCTCAGATTCGGGATCTACGGGTCAAGAAGGCCCAAAACCTGCAAAAAGATGGAAATGCAAAATCTGCCGAGACGCTGCCTTTAGGGTCACAGTGAGGGACCACACCTGCAATGACACTATAATATTCTTAACGAAAGTAGCTCCGATTGCTCAGAAGACGCAGACGCAGAAGGGGAGAAAGCCTCATCACAAGAATAACACTGCAAATGGAAACACCAGGAGGTAGACCTAAAGTAGACGTAATATGAGGTGGATGGACAGAATTGAGGCCGATTTGCAAGAATTTGTACTACAAGAAGACCTTTCTTAAGCAGTGATATGTGAAAAAATTGGACGCAAAAAGCAGACCCTGCATAAGCGGGACACATGCGAGGTTGAAAAAATTTTATAGATGACGCACACTCATGGCAAAGGATGTCCAAATGTATCATCAGTGTATAATAGCTATTCACTTGAATAGCTAAACGATGTTTTCTTGTATCTTCAAACCATAACGCTAGATTCTCAGCTAGTCCATTCAGACTAAATGGACTACCGCTTGTTGTGATTCTCTTTGTTTCCAGTAGCATTATTGTGGTATCTTAATCTTCAACGAGTTACGATAGAACCCACTGATACTCCACTATATGACATAGCCTCAGGGAATTTTGGGGTGAAAATCGTAAAAAGCAACCCTGTGTAGAATGTCACATGGCACAAGCCTCTTTTACGTCAAGCCTTCCATCATTAAATTCCGCCGTGTTGCTCCAGTTGTACTTCAAGCACAATTTTTCTTCACAGATGAGAGATACCATGATGTTTTTGAATGCAGTCATATTGTTTTCCTTAATTGGTACTGTCCTGTCGTTGGGCCGTACTCAATCAACAGCGGTTGAAGGGATTTTAATGTGTGGAGAGGAGCCGGCGAGAGAAGTGTTGGTTAAACTTTACGAGCACGATACTTGTAAGTGAATAAAACATTACTATACTGCGTAGCCCATGTCTACATTGGATGCTGATTTCTGCGCAATAAAAAACCACAAAACATCGCAACAAATGCGATGCGTGGATTCTACATACGTACCAGTGGCGTATAGAAGAGAGGGGGGGGCGCCCCCCCCCCCCCGAGAACGGGTCGCGAAATCTTTGAAAGTTACTTATATGGGTCATAAAATTGTGCAAGTGACTTGTTTGCACTTGTAAATAATTGAAAATATTTTTTAAAATTTTCTAGAAATTCATATCCTTATAAAAAAATTTTTCGGGGGTGTGGCTGACACCACGCCCCTTTTTCTGAAATTTCGGGGTTCTGAGCCCGCAAAAATTTTGAGAAGCATACCAAGAAATTTTTCTGAGGAAAATCTCACCTTCATCGGAAAAAATGTTTGATGCCGCCCCCTTCCCCCGAACCGAAATCCTGGGTACGCCACTGATGCGTACGTATTCATTGACACTTCAATACAGAACAGACCTGCTCTTTAAAATTACTCAAGAACTAACAAGGACTGCCTTGTACAAAGAAAAATTGCATGGATCCCCCTACTGAGACTCGCTATGACTAGACAAGTTATGGTGCCGCACTCGGATGATAGCGTGGCCTGGACATCTACTTGAGCACTGCACTGTGATCCGATCCCAAAACCCTTTTTGAACACTGCTTCCAAGCGCATAATCAAAGCCGCTACAATCATTAAAAACAAAGTAGGTCCTACGATTGGGAGAAAATTTGTTTCGAAGAAAAGACGGTGACTGATTTTTCTGTGTTCAAATCAAGGACATGTTTCCAGCTGAAAGTTTGTAAAAAGCTGCAAATCTTTTGACATAGATATTTTAATGAAACATGGCTTTCTATATAAAATTGAAAACAAATATGTGACGCCCATACTTTTCGGTCACCCTGTATATAACCGTTGTTTTTTCTTCAATACGAAATCGAGAAAATAAAAATCTTACTGATTTCAACAAAGCTATGCTGTGCTATTCCCGTATGAGAACTCCTACACTGCAAAATTGTGGAATTATAATGTAAATCTGTAGTTCTCTACAAGATCTAACACCAGAAAAATTGTAACATGAAACAGTTAAAAAGCTTTTTTTCTTTCAATAAGGGGCAGGTAGCTCTTGAGGTAGAAGAGGGGAATAAAATCACCCCAGTTGTCATTTTGAGTTAGGCTGCCAAAAATTGAATACCCGCGATAAAATGTCGAGCAAGCAGTAAAGTGAGTCTTTTGAACCACCCTTTCTAAATGCGCAGAAATTGTACATGAGCATCTGTGAATATGATTTTTGGATAAGCAATGCAAAACACAAAATGATTTTCTGCACTTTTTCGAAATTCATAACTCTTCAAAAGTGCTCATTCAAAACAAACTTTGCAATGTTAAGGCGACTAGAACAAATTTTGCAGCTTGCTCCGAATTTTATGATAAGTTTCCGATTTTTCGCAGCTTGATATGAAATGACCGAAGCTGGTGTGATTTTATTCTCCCGCCTCTATAATCAAACAAGGCTTATGATTGTTGATGTTGATTATAATATAACCTCTATAATCCTCTAAATTATCTGAAAACAGAAAACGTGCTGTTACAAGGCACATGGTTACCTTTGACTGCGATCTTGTAATTTCTACAATATTATGATTTTATCAATTCCATATCTGGTGAATTCAAATAGAATCAAGAGCAACAGCCAGCAAGCACCTCGGGTTTCATTGCAACTCCTCCTCCTCTTTCTACCAGTTCTTTTTTATCTTCGATTTACAAAGTTTTCGGAAATATTAGGTTATTACATAAGTCTTGTTACACTTTGAATTCTTACAACGATAAGTCGTGAACTCATAATTTCAATAGGCCTCCAGGGTCCGTTTGATAGGGCAAACCAAGCTCTACAAAACAGTTGCAAAGGTTCGCACCAGCTCCGACCCACCGTAAGTTTGTCCGGAATATGAGTCGTACTGAAGGCGCGAAAATTCATACCTTTGTTCAGAAAATTCCTACGAATCTCCAACTCATATAGGCAGATTGCCCACTATATCAAACACTTATGTACCGTTGCTGTATTTTTTCCTCATCTAAAAATCGAGAAAAGGAAAATTCTTTAGATTTTACAAAAACGAAGCTATGTTGTTTCTATTCATGTAGCTGTATACTACAAGCTCTTAGAAGCGCTTATGGTAAAGCTACATCAATAGAAACAACATAGCTTCGTTTTTGTAAACACTGAAGAATTTTCCTTTTCTCAGTTTCTAGGTGAGGAAAAAATATAGGAACGGTACATATAAGTGTTTGATATAGTGTGCAATCTGCGTGAATGAGTTGGAGATTCGTAGGAATTTTCTGAACAAAGATATGAATTTTTCGCAATTTTTGAGCCTTCAGTACGACTCATATTCCGAACAAACTTACGGTGGGTCGGAGCTGGTGCGAACTTTTCACATTATCTTGTAGAGCTTGCTTTGCTCTATCGAATGGTATGCTGGAGCCCTCTAAGGCCTCGGACAGAGTCACGCGATTTGATCGTCGCGATTCAATCGCTACAAGACAACTGCTACTAATTGCATACCGATCAGCTTGCATTTCGGTTGTGATACTTTTCCAGCTCGAAATTTTTGAATGCAAAATGAAAATGATGAAAACAGCGATTAAATCGCGACGATCAAATCCAGTGAACTCTGTCCGCGGCCTAAAGAGTATGAGATGCATGACTTATCGCCGTTAGAAGTTGAGCGTAACAAGACTTATGTAACAACCTAACATTAGGCCGTAAAGAAAGTCTCGGGCATCTGCGAAAAGTTTTGCATATTGCTGTAACTTCAAGCAGATTGGTTCTTTTTTGAAGCTACATACTTCATTGCCAAGACAATTTTGTCCACAACATTTGTCTTGCTGGCTTTTCAGCACCTCACTGCAGTCCACCAGCATGCCTTAAGAGAAAAAGGTCGACGCAAAAAGTGCCGTATTTGTGCAGGATCATCTCCACGATGAAAGCTGGAGATTCAAATGCTGTAGTTATACAGAATTCTGCTAGGGCTGTTATGGAGACCACTTAAGTCTTTGAGCACCACATGCAAAAAAAGTTTTCAGAAAGTTCGAAAAATCGATCATTTTTTGCCCCTAAAAATGCATCATTTTTCGAGTGAGTAACTTTAAAGTTTTGTCGTTCTGCATAGGATGGACCAAATCTTTGATTACTGCGGACATTGTTGAGGTAATGCCTTACACATTTTTGGACCCATCATTTAGGCGTGGCGATCCCCGCAGAAGCGACGCCACAGTTGCAATCAGAGGCAGGTTTAAGAGTTTGTAATTTCTGAGCGCAAATCAGAAAACTCGAGTGCAGCTGCCGGTCAGAAGTTAACAGGCTTCTCAATCAGATCATCCATGATTCGGACGAATTTCTTTGAACAACTGCACAAAAAATGGCCACAAAGAAAAATTGTGAAATTATTATGGTTGGAAAGATTTCCTTTTTTGATGAGCAAATCAAACACGTTTTGGCAGGGATAAAAATCAGAAGCCACATTGATAACTTTAGACTTCCCTCTATTGAAAAACATAGAAAACGTGATGTCACTCCGACCGAGCGCCGAAAAAATGCGTTTGAAAATGGAATTTTTAAAAGCGTCCGGGAACTCCCTTTACCAAATATCATCACTTATCTTTTCGAAAGCCCCCCCCCTCCCCCCAGGCTACCCTGTCTTTTTTTTGAGATTCCTGTTCTGACAGTAAAGCTTCCTTGCTTTGTACAACTTAGTGTTGTACAACAATCGCCTTTGGAAGTTTCAAGTTTGAAAGGTTTATTGGCGTTTGATGCGTATGTATCTGAGACAGTCCTGCTAAATTTTGGAGGTTCCAGTGAAAAGTTTGTCAAAATATTATGGCGAGTTCTAAAGAAGAAAACCGTAATGTTCTTTTGAAGACTTGCTCTATTCTCTGTTATTTGAATTCTTTCGGAGTGTTGTATAAATATTCAGAATAATTGCGAAACTTGACCATCTCAAAAAGCATCGTTACACTCTAACTTTTTACGGTGATAAGTCTTACAATTCACATTTTCAATAGGGGTCCAGTGCACCTCTCATACCATTTTGTAGAGCAAAGCAAGCTCTACAAAATGGTATGGAAATGTTCGACAAACTTCGACTCACTGTAAGTTTGCATTCCTACGAATCTCCACCTTGCACATTATATCAGACATGTATCGTTCCTGTATTCTTTCCTCATTGAGGTTTAGAAAACAAAAATTTTCATGTTTATACAGAAACAAAGCTATGCTGTTTCCATCATGTAATTGTAATCAATACTATAATACAAGTCCTTAGGAGTATAACCGTAGAATTTCATTTTTCCACAGGCCCTAGTTTTCAAAAGTTAACGAATTAGCTCTCTCAATTGGAAATTCTTTTTTTCTTTGAACGAAGATACGGCGATTTCTTGAGCCTTCAGTACGAATCCGACTTTGGAACTTATGATAGGTCGAAGTTTATGCGAGTTTTTGCACACCATCTTGTAGAGCTTGCTTTGCTTTATCGAATGGTGCCCTGGATCCCAGTTGAAACTGTGAATTGTAAGACTTAGCGAAGTAAGAATTTAGGATGTAAAGACTTATGTTACAACAATATTAGGTTGGTGCGATAGTTCTTGCGCATCGTCTTCAAAAATCATAACATTCTTGCCGCCCGATGGATTCCCTTATTTGTTCGAAAGTAGGCATGATGCTCTTTACGACATCTTTTCTGGAATGAAAATATAGAGAAAACGCGAGAGTTAGACCTAATAGACTCACATAATTTAAAATTTTCAAGAAGCATCACGAAAGTGTTTTTGTTCGAAAGCGAATTTTCGCTCATTACAGCAGTTCCTTTGCGACGAATCAAAATGGAAAAGATCAAGAGTAAGCAAATGAACAGATACACTCGGCATCAAAATTGGCATTTTTCAAGCAAGCTCAGGAAAGTCAAAAATCGTCACAGCAAGAACCGAATCGGTCATAAAACCTATGTTTTATGACCTCCCTTTATACCTGAGCAAAATTCATATTGATCAAGTACTATTTTTTATTCGTGAAAAACGCACAAAATTTCTATTAAAAATCATGACTTTTTATAAGGGCAGCCGATCACGGCAAGCTTTGCTTTGCTAGAAAGAGGAAATTATGGAGGCTATGCTTGTGTTTGCACCGATATTTTCGTAAAGTTTTTTGATTTTTGTAAACTTGCTCAAGTTATAAGATTGTGAACAATCATTCTCTCGGGTTCCTAACTCTGCGAGCGTATTAGAATGCGACCCTGCTATCATTAGATACTACATGATTTTCTCATTCCAACAAACATTATTATAGACAAATTCAGGCAGGTTACAGAAAGCAGAAAGTTAGATTCTCTCAAAAATGACGCTCAACAACTTTCGGACTAAACCAACATATGCGTTAGCGGGCGAGAGTTTGTAGCATTTTTTCGATGCAATTAGGATTCCTTCTCAATTTCTCGTGCATTCGATTTTCATGGTTCTTGACTTCAAACTTCGTGTGGTTCAAGTTGGTGCAAGTGTGTAGCATCAAATCGTTTCTGAAACCTGTTTGAAAACAAATGTATGATTCAATGCGGTTAAGTGCAACAAGTACAAGAAAACTATGTAACAACTCAATACTGTTCCGAATATAGTCTTATTGTTGATTTTAGTTACTCCTGATGAGCTGATGGACTCTACCGAGAGCGACAAACATGGAAAATTTATAGTTAGTGGATCTGCGGAAGAGGTTGGTAAATTGGAATTGATATCTAACAAGGAAAAATAACTAATATCCGTGGCTTTTTGGAATGTGTTAAATATACATCAAAATGCTTGCCTTGAAACGCTGATCTGAGAACTATCTTCATTAGCTTCGGAACGCTTTTTTGAAAAGAATTAGCGCTCGTAAAAGCGAAAGCAAAATATTCGCACCGACCGGGATCAAAGCATCCATTGTGCAATGATCGATAGCGCTAATCACCGGACCACTCAACACCTTTAGCACCTATCGAAGTTACTCGTACTCTAGTGCAAACAGTCAAATGCGGGAATATACGATTTTTCTGAAGTATCGTTCTGCAGATAACAAACATGGTTCAGATCAGCGTTTTAAGGCGAATGTCATGACACATGTTGCTTATCGTAGGGCCATAGCCACCAAGTATCCTCTTCCCGTAAAAGGAATGCACTTTGGATTGGCTTTGTATGCTAAGCGTTGTGGACATCTCATTAATTTCAAACTTTATCCTGTCAAGAGCAGGTGATATTCAAAGGCAGCGTCCACCCAAAATCCCCAGATTACTGCTTATTGGCCTAAAAGGTAGTCCAACCGCATTGGTTCGGTCTCCTAATGTTGCCTGAGGACCTAATCCTCTTTGCGCTCCACCCAACCACGCAATGCTCCGTGACTTGTTCTGACATGAAAGCAACGTCTAGACGCGTAGTTTGTGATGTGGAACTGTTGCACCTGGCGAGGTTTCCTGCATACGACGTGATTAGCTACGACGTAACAGCTTCACGTCTGCCAAAATAGATTTTTAGAAAGGTGCAGTTTTGGGCATTTTGGTAATTTGGACCTCATGTCCGAAATCAGCGCCATAGAAGGGCCTGATAACAGTGAAGACATGGAAGACGAAATTTTGGGTGGACACTGCCTTTGAGCCCTCGAAAAAATTAAGTCTTTGTGTTGAGTAACGGTTATCTATCTTGCATATGGCACAATAATAGTAGCGAATGAAAATGTCAGTATTTTGCATGAAACTGTTGCCAACAACTCAGCAATCACTATACTGATTACAAATTCCTCTGAATGGTTTTGCTAGCAGAGGATATCTTTTCAGATAGGTTCGATAGAACCGAAGATCAACATATACCACGACTGCAATGATGGCATCAAAGTAAGTCGAGGAGAACATTATTAATATTATTGATATTTGAACATTATTATTCAGTCAAAATTCTTTATTTCAGCCATGCCAACGCAAGCTAACTGTCTTTGTTCCCTCCGCTTATATCACATCAGCGAAGCGACCAGCAAAAACGTTCAATATGGGCATACTGCAATTAGAGGGAGTATTCGATGGCGAAACGAGGGATTGCTTACATGCCTAGGAAATATGCTTGATATCAAATTTATGTAAAGTAATCAAATTGAATAAACATGCTGTACACTTACCAAAGGAAAAGCACGGAAGCATATATTTTCTACATCTTATCGCTACTACCACTTTTGGGCACAATCGCAAACTCGTGCAGAGCAAGGATGAATTTGATTTTCCATCTGGTAAACATATCGTTTGTGAAAAGGGCTTCTGTAGTTCACGATTAGCGGAAAGTTTTGACCGTCTTACAAAGATTAAGATAGGCACAGTAATATTATCGGACTTATCTATCATATAATATATCGGGTTGGTTGATAATTGATGCCCGTTTTTACTTCATTTTTCAAAAGCTACTTTTCAAAGGAAAGCTTTTTATTTTTTTATTTACATTCGTCTCCAAAAGTCTATGTTCAAACCGAAGTTTCATGCCTTCAAAGATAGAAAGAGGCTGAAACTTGAAGTTCTTTCTTTTATTCTACTTGCTCTAAATCAACGAAAGATGCTCAATTTTTCTCAAAACCTGCATGTCGTAATCGCGAAGTTTCGTGGTATAAAATGCTTGCCAAGGCAGAATTGAAAAACATGATCTTAGAAGCTTACTTCCAAATTTGACTGAGTGAGAATTGCTTTTTACTGTATAAAAACCTTAGGCAGAAAGCGATTTTTCTCTCTACACAGGTAGTGTGGACTTAGTACAACTAATGAGAAAGTGGCAGGATCTTTTCGTTTCTCAAAGAAGAAAAAATCAAAGAAATCTAAAAAACGCAGTTCTTTGCCATTTCTGAAATGCGAAAAAATAGTACTTTCGATTCTTTGGCCATATTTTTCGCAGAAAATTCCCGTAAATTCCACTTTTACTCTACTACTTATCAGAACATCTGCTATACATGAAAAAGTTTGCGCCATCTTAGTATATTTTGAAGTAAGTTTAACCTCTCAGCCAGAGTTTTTCAGAAAAAATTTTTCTACACTTTTCGGGCCAAAAAGTTTGCTCCGCAGTGACTACAATAATACCAAAGTATGCATTGCATAGCTAAAGATTTCAAGTTTGCGATAGTTTTTTTTGCACTCTGAATTGTGGTACAGGATAAAAATTATTTTGATTCAAAGTTAAGTTTAGAAAATGTGCATTATTTATGGCGATTTGAGTTGACCTAGAATATATGGTATTCCAAAGATGCACAAGACACCCATTAAGTTTCGGTATATTACCGGAGCAAAGAGATATACGCTTAAGCCCCTTTACAAGATACTGCAATTAGCTTGCACATATTAGAAAGCATTTCATGAACTATTGTAAAGTTATTTATCAAAGAACTAGAATAAAACATTTTTGGGCTATAGAAAATAGTAATCAAGTGCTGAAAGAACTGCTTACAGCAGATGAAGAATTATTAGGCTGTCAAGAAAATAATGTCGGTTTTTATTTGCTTGCTTTAACAAAGCAACCAGACTCAACCCAACAAAGGGTAAGGGTACTGTTCGATAGAGCAAAGCAAGCTCTACAAGATGGCACTCATGTCTTTGCGCCATGCTCGATCCACGGAGAGTTCGAACTCAAAATCTAAAGATTTCCAAATGCCCAAAAAATCGAAAAAAATCAGATCTTCGTCTAAATAATTTCTACGGACCTCCCACTCGCTCACATCAATACTATCGATATCTAATATCCATATGTGCGATTGCCGTATTTTTTCCTTGACTAGAAACTGAGAAAACGAAAATTTTCCTAATTTTCTCAAAGCAATGCTGAGCCGTTTTTGCATATGTAGTTCTATACTACAAGCCTAGGTAAGCATAACTGTAGGTTTTCAGCCTGTTTCGAGCAGTAGTTTTCGAAAAATGTCGATTTTAGCACTGAAACTGAAACGAAAAAATCCGAATTCGTTATTTTTCGAAAACTACTGCTTGGAATGGGCTGAAAATCTACAGCTATACTTACCTAGGCTTGTAGTATAGAACTACATATGCAAAAACGGCTCAGCATTGCTTTGAGAAAATCAGGGAAATTTTCGTTTTCGCAGTTTCTAGTCAAGGAAAAAATACGGCAATCGCACATATGGATATCAGATATCTATAGTATTGATGTGAGCGAGTGGGAGGTCCGTAGAACTTATTTAGACGAAGATCTGATTTTTTTCGATTTTTTGGGCATTTGGAAATCTTTAGATTTTGAGTTCGAACTCTCCGTGGATCGAGCATGGCGCAAAGACATAAGTGCCATCTTGTAGAGCTTGCTTTGCTCTATCGAACAGTACCCTTACCCTTTGTTGGGTTGGGTCTGGTTGCTTTGTTAAAGTAAGCAAATAAAAACCGACATTAATTTCTTGACAACCTAATAGAAATATTAGGTTGTCCCGAAAGTTTTGTCGGTTTTTTCCATCGCTCACTAAAACTCACAGAACACTATTACGTAAACGCTCTAGGTACCATTTGATTTAGATTTTCATCCTCTTTCTTACAGCTATATTTGCTCTCTGACCTACCCTGTCTTTGCAATGTTACCGCCGTGGCTTTTTGAGGAGCTCAACAGTAACGCCAAACCTTTCGTGAATTTTAAAAATTTCTATCCTGACACTCTTGAGGAGCGCTGGTAACTGTTATGTAGAGCAAAGCTTTGGCTACATTGTATCCATTTTAGATTACGTGGGTCACGTTTACCAAGTCCGTTATAATTATTTAGTTAATAAAAACCGCGGCTTTTTGATTACCTTCGCCACGTAAAAGTACCGAAAATTCCAAAAAGTTCTTTTTTCAAAGCAAGTCAAACTGGGTAATGTTGCATAAATAGTGTTCAATAAGAATCATGTTGCAATTGGCAAAAACTTCAGAAGTTTTCATGTTTTTGCTCCAGTTGCGTGTTTCATGACTTTGCCAAGAATCGAGACCTCCGAAGAAATAATTTTTTGAAGCGAAATCAGCAGATTAGTGGAGTCTAAAAGTATCATCTTGTAGTCCGAGAATTTCTCTATTTAATCCTAACTTAACCCTTTCCGAAACTTTGAAATGAAATTTTCAAAAATTAGCCGAACTTTGAGCAAACAAAAATGACGGGTGAAGAATTTCAGCAATCATAAAAGAAAGCATACAGGATTGTGGCTCGAAAATGTAACCACAAGAAAGAGAAGGAAAAGATGCATCGAATACATGCTGAAGCTCACATAGATCTTCATTGTGCATGGTCTTATAGTGGTCTGAAAAAACCGACAAAACTTTCGGGACAACCTAATATATTCAGCCGACTTTTCTAGTTTGTTCACCAATCTGCCACATAACGTAGTCAGATCTAATCTCAGAAAACTTATAAGCTTATGCATGAGAGGATATAAATATATCAAAATATATAACAATAAAGTACGTATGTTAATGCAGATACGGCACAGGTCAGATGTTATCAACTTGAAGACATAATTTATATAATAGATTATATAATAGATGACATAATTTATATAATAGATTATATAATAGATAATAGATTCTATACTGGAGTCTAGCTACCTGTATTTTGGTGGAGTGATATATAAACAAATAAAGGGTATACCTCAGGGAGCCTTCGTGTAGCCCACAGATAGCAGACCTAACTCTATCATACATGGAATTTGAGTTCTTAAAAAGACAGACAAGAACTTTGAGTCATAGCACTAACTTGTACAATCATACTTACAGATATATAGATGACATACTACATGCCTCTAAAGATGCATTGCATTTCAAAAGAACTTCAGGAGAAATCTATCATCCTTCTTTACAAATAGAGAAAACTAACCTTAGCATGACAAAAACAAATTTTCTAAACCTTACCCTCAAAATTCCAGTAATAAAATTGAATTTAATATTAGGTTGGTCCGAAAGTTCTGTTTACTTCTTCCTAATAAGATGTTTTTTGCATGGCTAAAATCGTTTTGAAAAGAGCAATTCATGCCCTTTCTAATGCTGGTTTGGCTGCTATTTACTAAGCTCTGAATGCAGAGATAAAATTGGGAAAATGAAATCACTTCAAGTTCTGAATTTTTGAGCAAGCCCGTTAAAAAATCCAAAACTGTGCTATAAAATCCAAAACGGTTAGTAACCTAGGTTTTCTGATTCCCTCTTTATATATAAGCAAGATTCGCGCTGATGGAGCCCTTCTTAGAAAAGTTATGATTTTCAAGAAAAAATGCCAAAAAATCAGTTTGTTAAGAAAATTGATTTTTTGACATTTTTTCAAAAAATCATAAATACTGAAGCAACAGCTCGATCAGCGTGAATTTTGCTCAGGTCGAAAGAGTGGGCCAAAAAGTCTAGCATACTGGCTGCTTTGGATTTTATGGCACAGTTTTGGATTTTTTAACGGGCTTGCTTAAAAATTCCGAACTTGAAGTAATTCCATTTTCCCAATTTTATCTCTGCTTTTAAGGCTTAGTAGATAGCAGCCAAGGTAGGTTTATAAGGTGCATGAATTGCTCTTTCCAATATGGTTATAGCCATGCAAAAACATCTTATTAGGGAGAAGTTATGATTTTTTGAAAATGGTGGGACAGAACTTTCGGACCAACCTAATATAATAAGACAGATGACTATAATTTCAAAGTATTTAGATATCCACATCGGGAGTCTAACACTCCCAGATATATATATTGTACAATACTTGCACTTCAGAAATCCTTAGAATATACAGAAATTGCTTCAATTATGCACATTTGGAGGAAAGAGTAATGGAACTAGCTAAGACTTTAAAAACAAATAGATGGGAATATTATATTTTTATTAGTAAACTTTATCATATACTATTCGATAGACCATTTACAATGCATAAGTACGGAGTTCCTAGTAACATACATTTGCCTCTTTTACATGACCTACATGACAGGGCTCACGCTAGCGCGCTCTGAGGTCACGGCGGGAGTACTCCAGTGTAAAAAAGAGGTCGCTATTTCTTCGGATGACACTTTTTATTTATTTTGTCGTATACGTACATGTTAATGAAACTTGCACCTTCTTTGCTCTACTTCTTTATACGCCAATTTTCCGTCCTAGACTTCATCTTAGATTTTGATTTAATAATTTTGAAGCTTCCTTGGGAACTACTGACAAGGGGCACCAAGGAAGCCGCACTACCGGTATAGTTCTAAGCCCCGAAACTGGATAGTGTAGAAAATGAACAAAAAAGGAATCGAAATTCTTGTGTTCCTAATTAGTACTTATCAAATTCTTTTTCATACTAAAAACCACAAAACCAGTTGTTATAGAAGCAAGATCCGTTTGTTGGCAGCTCGCTGTCATATCCGATGTATTTTGACTTCATAGACTGCTCAGCCTGCGGACTACGTGCAGCGCGGCTGAAATTTTGCGAGAGCACAATTTGTACAATGGCGAATTCGTATCGAGGCAATATCTGCTGAAAAATGTCAGGGTTGCAAGGCCCACTGGTTTCAAATTGCTTTGTTAGAAATATGTTGGTGTTTTCGTTTGATGTTCAGCATGAAGGGACGGTAGTTGCTCATTCTATTTTTTGCTTACTAACCATCTGGTCGATGTCGTGCTTTAGACCATACACCAACGAGCCTTTGCCAGATCAGGTTCATAAGAGCTTATCGTTTGAAATTACCATGTTTGATTTTAAATTGCGTTCAGGATGAGTATTGCCGAGAACCCGGAGCTATGTGTGGATATGTAGAAAAGTCACTATCAAGATCCAAGTGGGATAAACGACTAGCCATAATTAGTGCACAAGGCGAACTCATCATCTACAAGTACTACTTACTCGACATATGCCCTGGGTTAGACTTTGGTCAAAAAGCAGTTGTCATCACGTTTTTTGAAAAACTATGGCTTAGCTTTTTCTAAAAGTTCCACTCTACGAATATGTACTGTCTTCTTCAATAGGTAGTGAGCAGCGATAGTCTTTTTGCTCTCGGTTTAAATATATTGAATCAGTCCAAAAGTTTGTGCCATCATTTCGGCTTATCATAAACACATTCGCTAAAGATGGGCAAACGTTTGAACAAAACACAGCTTTGTTTCTCCTTCTCAGCGACCATGATCCAAAACTGGTCGCTTTTGTAATACCTCAATAATTTTTTAGGATTTCGCCAGGATTTTGACCATGGTAGCAGTTTTCCAAAAGTATAAACTTTTAGGATAGGTTTGGTAGCGTAAAAAAAGCAAACCATATACATAATATGCGATACAATATTTTCAGTCCTCTCCAACTTGCTTTCCATTTTCCGAATAATTTTTCAAAGTCTTTATTTTCTGCAAAATCTAGTCATACAAAATAAATCTTCGAAATTTGGGACTTGACCCATGATTTAGCACTTATCTAATAAGCGTTGTTGTTTCAAAAGATCGATTTTCCAATTTCTCTGATGAAGCCTGAGGCGCAATCAAAACAAGAATCGCAATCATTTGATGGCAACGTCCATTCAAACACCCGCCCACGCCATCCAGTACCGTTCCGGAAAGCCGGCCTGCGGGTTCTCCGGAACGGAGATTGTCGGGGTTCTCGGATTCCCAACTTCAAATTCGGAAACAGGGACATGAGAAGGCCTGGCAACGATCAAAACATGGAAATCGATCTGGGTAGACGTTGCCGTTGACTCCGAAGAAGTAATCGAAAAGGTTAATTATATGGCAAAAAGTGAAGAAAAGAGCTGCCTTGAATGGCACCCGACCAGATATAGATTTTGGTGATGTCAAAAAATACTGCTCTAACTTCAAGAGAGAACAAGGTGCACCTGATTCTAAATTCGACAAGCGTGAACATCGATACTTATATACAGGGTTCCAAGAAAAGTATTCACTGTTTGATTGTTAATAACTCTCTTATTATGAGGTCTTTCGAGAAGGGGTAGGCGTCATTTTGTAGAGCTGGCTTCAACTTAGATTTAGGTATAGAGCGAATCACTGACCGCTCTTCATTACTGTAGAATTACGGTAGAAACTTGGAACATATGGTGTCACTGTGGAAAAAGCTGCCGTTTAAAAATTTTCAAAAAGATGTGGAAACTTGTGTCATAGGGTTTTTAGGGACGCTGAGTTCATCCACTATTCTCAAGATTGCGAAGCTTTCTAAACGGTGTGACCGCACTTTTTAGGAACATTGAGAAAATGGCCGCTACTGCTTACCTCGCGCAACTCTTTAATGAAGCATCATAATAAGTTGGGACACCTAGTATTTGCCTTAAAGGATACTTGGTGATTGTGGCCTTTTGCAATGAGATGTATACGATTAGGTGCGTCTTTGAACGCTCATTTTAAATCTATGTTCATTATCTGCTGTGTGACTTTCTGAACGAAATTATGGATTCTTTTCCAAATTGAGTTTGCGAGACAGTCAAAATCGTCAGTATCCAGGCTTTTAGATTCTGATGTATCGGTGACAGTTTTCCTGAGCTTATCGTGAAGCTTTACTTTACTTGTACGCTCTTTTGTGGTGCGTATGCGAACATTTTAACGATATTGGTGAATCCTGCATCAAAAACAGTGCAAGTCTTGGTGAGAAATGTTCATAAGTTCTTTCGGAAGAGCGCACAGCAGATAATGAAAATAGATTTGGAATAGCGCCTCAAAGTACGTTTAACGGTATATCTTTTATTTCAAAAGACCACTCACCAAGTATCCTTTCCTTGTTAGCCATTTTTTGTATCTTCGCTCAAAAAGGATAGAAGGATTCATGGAATCTAAACCAAATTTGGCAGACATAATTCATGGGGTGGGGTGCGTTAATAAGCCATTTTGTTCGAGGCTCACCGACTGCCTCTATCGATTTATTAAATTTTTGCAGTTTTTGCCAGAATAAAATCTTTTATGCTCGCCTAAAAAGGGTAGAAGGAATTATAGAATCTGAACCAGATTTGACAGACACGATGCATGGGGCGAGAAGTGTGTTAATAAGCCATTTTGTTTGGGACTTCCGATTGTTTTTCTCGAATTACTGATTTTTGCAGTTTTTGCTCAATTTTTCATCTTCACCCAAATAGGATACAAGGAGTCTTGAAATTCAAAGCAAATTTGGCAAACATATCCATGAGATGGCGCCATTTTGTCCGGAACACACGGATTGCTCCTACCTCGATTTACTGTTCTGCAGTTGCGTGATATCCGTTGCTTATGTTAGAATGTTGAATCAAAATGAAATGACAAAGCCGAAATCAGCTTCTCAGTTTTTCTTTCCGCGCAGGTCATTGATCAAAGTAATTCTTGCAAAATTATAGAGTAACACGAAAGATATACGAGGCAGGAAGCTGCCGAGTACTAGTCGAATCTGCCGCGTAGCGGCAGAGGGCGGCGTAACAAAAAAGTTCACAATGAAAGGGCCCTATACCGTGCTGCGTATTGCCTGATGGTATGGCGTGACATAAGTTTTCCGACACAATGCTGAGCGGCTCGCTTAAAAAATCGAAAAAAGTGGGTCTTGTGCTCGTGAAATCAGGATAGGCAGTTCGAAAGTAATGCGCCTTTTTCAAGTGAACGCCACATCTCGTGAACAATTTTTTCAAGAGATCTTGATAGCATTCGATGCAGCATTCCATCCTCTTTCTAAGAGTATAGATCGCTGCAGTACCGTCAATGAGCTCTCAAATCATTCAGTTTGTGCTATCGCAAAAGTATGTTCTAGTCGTTTCCAATAACCATAGTTCCTTCTTTATTTTTGCCATGTACTATTAGGCTTGAAGTTCTTGCAGTGCTTTCGGATATCGTCTTCTCATCGTACTCGCCTTCTACCATCACCACAACGTCGCCCAGTTGGTGGTGTCCAGCAGTCAAAATTTCTGTCCATTTCCATACTTATGCCGTCATCAATTTAGTACTACTATATTATCTGCTCCGAATATCTTGTACCCGCAACTGTACTAACTGCTCCAATCATTCAAACTATTCAACTGTTGTTTTTCAGAGAGCCCCTCATGGGCAAAATTTACGAACTGAAAAAGATGAAAAACATGAGATTAGAACGACTCGCTAACGGAAGAATTGTAGTTCAAATCTATTTAAATGATGGAAAAAAGGTGAGCACATTTCATTTTGCTCTCACTACTTCATTTCTGCGTCATTCTAAACGATGAGAGCTTATTGGCTGACGTTGGCATATAATAGTCAACCAGATGCCAAAATCGCAATTGGACCATTTGTCAGTCACTAGTTAGACCCAACATCATTAATATTGATTGTGCGTTGATAATAAACCTGCATGGCAGATATACTTGGAAAAGTTTTTGTATCGTTTATTCGTTGACCGTAACGACTGCTGACCGCGCGGCGACCGCTGCGCGTGCATGATGTTTTCGTAGAAAAGATGAATAGAAAGAAAACAGAGGATTCTTCTCATCTTTATAATGTAGAAAAGAAACAAAGAATTCTTCTCATCTTAAGCCACAGTCCAACTTGTCACTTTTTCGCAAGTTAAGAAGGCACGCGTCGCAGTCGCCACGCGGTCGGCAGTCCGTACGGTCAACGAATGAACGATACCTTGCTTGATTTCAAGAGCCCCGATAATCATAACACACTAAATTTCAGAACATTACATATAACCTATTATTTAGGTGAAGCTAAGACTTTCTGGTGAAAACGCAGCAGCATGGGCTGCTAAGCTTATCAAGTATGGAGAGTATGTTTGCGCTGTGAATTGCTATGTATATTGAATTACAGCATAAAAGGAGAGTCACTAGGTCATCAAACTCATCCAAATATCGACTATACTTCGCTGCAATCTAGAGTACCGCTTAGGTCAGAAACTGTCAAAAGTCAATCACCCCAGGAGAAAATTTTGGGAATTCAGTAAGTTCTTGAAATCTAACCTTAGCGGAAAACACCAATTGAAAGTGTTTGAGCACACTTTAAGATATTTTTACGCCTTTTTTGGTTTTTCATGTCATTGCCCAAATAGATCAAGAAGAGCGCCCAACAAATAACAATGTGGGTGGTACGTCACAGAGGAGCCACTAACGGAGAGGCCACTCATATAATATTATCTATGCTTCGCAGATGTTCGCACTCGCCATCATGAAAGTATTACCCAAACTCATGTCGGTCTTTCAATCGAGAGACGGCTATGTAACGCAAAAGTGAACCCTACTTATTATACAGCTCTCACATGCACTGAAGCAACGCAAATCGTTCCTCATTATACTTGACAAACACAGCTTACACGCCGAATTAGCAGCTTATTATAAGCCATAACCCCTCAACACTGTGATTATCGGTCACACAGTTGGAAGGTGAGGCACTAGCTTCCCATCATTTTGTTTTGACCACTACAGTCCCAGTTTCAAAGTTTTCACACTGCAGTTTGATTTGAAGAAAGACCTCCGACACTGCTTTGCTGCTGCTACTAAGAGATCATCGGTCCTTTGGGACAGAAAAAAAATGCATACTCAGTTATCGGTACATCACAAAGCCACGAAATTCGCTAATCACGTGGGAGAAAAGAGAGTGCAACCACTGTAAATCATCGGTGCGGGACACGTTTTGCTGTGTCACGCCTTCAAAATTGTGTGAATAGAAATGGGATGGGTAAGGGATTATATGCCGTCGATAGACATCGCGCGCGGACAGATGATAAAAGTCTGCGAAGTGTCCCGTGCACTGTGTCCTGTGAATATGTATACATAGCCCGTAGTTCGCCACATATAGTGCTCTACCCATGGTTTCCGCTTTGAAAGGTGCTCATAAACTGAAGCTGGCCTTTTCTTCTTTTCAGTAGAGCATCACCGTCGATTTCCAATAACAGCAAGTTTTCCTACTCCGTGACATTGCAAGAAGGAGAGGAATCCAGCGAAGACTACGGGTATAATTTTTTCAAATAATTTCATCAAACGTCAGAATATCAAAGAGTACTGTTTATTACAGAATATCGAGAAATGGTGGAGAAGATGTTTTGTTGAGCGGCGATTTTCCAAGCATTATTGATTGTGCCAAATTTGATGGAATGGGACGTGCAAGGGGTGGCAAAGTACAAGAAGATGTGTCGGAAGTAAGTCGATAGCTCTCTTTCTTAGTCGCCTTGATCACGCAAATATGGGTTTGGGTTCTCCTATGTGAAAACTGGTTGGTCTTTTAAGCCGAGCATGCGGCTGCTTAAGTGGCAGCTCTCACGACTCTTGTGGCCAAGAAATTGAATTTTTTGCTTTGGTCCAGGTAACGTTAACCAAATTTGAATACGCTGATTAGTCCTCTCAAAATATTAGGTTGAAAAAAAAATGTCGCCTTTTCGGTTTTTAAAAGCTAACTGGTATTTCTTAGGAACTTAAACATATCGATGGCCCAAATTTCATTTTTTTGATTATTAAATTTTTCATTTTAATTTTTGATTAAATTTTCGAAGATTTGTGGTGCACAAGTGCGCTTATGGGCGGAACCCAGGACTACTAGGGGCGAAGTTTTCTATTTTGCGTGATTCAGTTTTTTCCTGGTTTCTGATCCAAAAAATATGACAAATGCACAAATGGATGTACATGTGTCTGTTACATGCTGGAGCAAGTAAGAGGTTCATGGGATTTTTGGGGGCGAAAATCCGATTTATGGCACTATGAGTTGCTCTTATGTTTTGGCTGTGATCCTGAGTAAACCACGAATTGAGCCAATTTTCAGATGTCATCTTAGAGATTGCTTTGCTCTATCAAATATTCCCTTAACATATTTTTCCCATTCGTCCTGTTGCTCTGATTTTTCCAACCTAATGATTAGTTGTGAGCTGCTGTATGACAAAACTGCTGGGTCACAAGTGAATTATGAGGCCTGCTGTTTGCGCAACTGGCTAGAGTTCAAGATTACCCTCAAAATGAAAGCTATTGCTGCAGATGATTCATACAATCATGACGACCTCTTCGCATACATCATCAAATAGAAAGTTGATACGGCAGCAAGTTGATGAGCTTATCAAAAAGCATATGCAGGAAAATGGAAAAAGGCGAGAGAACGATTACCATCCAGAAACCATATGCCCGCCTCTCAATTCGAACAATGTAAGTTTCTTATTGACTAAATATCTAACCCTTGTAGGAAGCCTAATGTTTCTCTACCCTGTAAGTCATTTCTAAGTTCAGCAGAATCTGGGAGCATCATGTAATTAGAGAAAAACAGATTTTTTGGGGATATTTCAAATGTGAATTTACTAAAAACTTGGCAGTAAAAATAAGATATATGACTTAGAAACAGCTTTTCCAACTATAAACTATGAAACTCCACTCAAATTTGTTTTTTTTAGGTGAGTGCTTCCAATCGCATACAAAACTGCATGTAACTTGTAATCGAACTTTAAATCTTTAAGAATAAAGACTGATTTAAGACTGTGTCTGATCAAGCCAATTTGATGTAGTTATCCGCTCCAATCGAAAAATGAAGGTGGATGACGTTGCCAGCATATAAATAGACATCAAGAATTACAAGTGATACACGATGTGCCAGGATTAAATTTCAAAAAAAAGAGAAAGATACCGGCGCCAAATGCCGCGTGAAGTGCATGAAGGATAGCGAGGTAGCACGTGATGGAGGCGCAGGCGAGCAGAAGAGAAAGAGCAGAGCCGACGTGGCATTTGCTACTGGTTGTAGAATTTCACGTATTCTCAGTGAAACCCTGCAGTATATAACACTAGCTGGCAGACCCGACTCCGCTTGGGTATTTTCGTAATCAGCATGCACGCTTAACCCCCTGAGCCAACTCCCAGCCCTGTAGCTCAAACTTTGCGAGAATCGGCAAATTGATATCGCGATAATGAAAAGTAGTCTACGACACGCGCCTCGCCCCGAAGTGTATGTGTGCCAACTTTTATCCGTATCGGTTCAAAAGTAAAAAGATTCTATCCGGAACATGCGTACAACAGACACACAGAGAAACAGACACTCAGCTTTATTCATAAATAGCTGGTAGCCGCGGTCTCACCCGAGGCTCCAGATTAGTTCATTTAACAGTGTGAACTTACGCTTCTAAACTTCTTCAAACATGCTCGAAAAGTGCTTTGAGATGAATTGCCGCATCTCGACCCTGAGGTTGAAATGAACTCTACCGCCCCTGTTCACATGACTATGGAAAAAGATTGGTTGGAGCACGAAAAATTTTCATTTTTCGAGATTTCGTAGACAAATCAATAAATTGATAGAAATGCCCGGTGAATCGTCGCGACAAGTAGCTTTGAACCACCGGAGTCGAAAACATATGTGTGCAAATTTTCAGCTGGATCGGTTCAGTGGCGCGCGTTTCTATAACGAACGAACAACTAAACGAACACACTTACAAAGTCTGAGTTCTATATATACATAGAAGATTCTGTTCGTCAGGAAACGACCAGGAGCATCGACGACGTCGCCGCCATTAACAAACACTCCTCAACGAGATAAATTAGCATTTTCGTGCGTCTCTGCGCGAAATTGAGCGCAGTATCTCGATTATTGATTTTCAATAGTTTTCATGACTTCTTTTAATAAACCATACTTCAAGAAGAGGTTATCCAAGAAGCGTTGTTGCCAATTTTGAGGGAATTCTCAAAATCGTGTTTTCAGCACGACGCGTCATACAAAAGCGCACTCGAGAGATATAAAAACACAATTTCTTGGTGTTGCTAAATATTTTCGAGTTATTGCCCCTTCTATTCGCTTGGTTCACGACAACTATTCTACTATGTTATAAGTTCAGCATCTCATGTTGGCTTTTCTATGTCGCTCAGAGTGAAGATTATCAGTGTACATGACTCCATGATCGAGGATAGAGTAGGAAACAACCACATATTCCTCCTCACTACTGCAAGAAAAGCATTTATTGTCTCAAAGGTTGTTCGAAGGAGAACTGGAAAATTTTGTTACTAAATAATTATATTATTTTATCCAAAATTGAGCTATCTCTCCTTATCAAAATCTCTAGTTTAGAAGTAACGACGTTTTACTGTGATGATAGAATTCCCAATAGTAGGATCAGCAGCAGATGCACATAACTGGTGTCATAGGACTCGTCTCTGCAATACCCTCTTCTTCCCCCCCCCCTCTCAATAAGAATAACCAAGATAATAGCGACAGTTGAAAAATACTTTATTGTCTCAAAGGTTGTTCGAAAGAGCTGGAAAATTTTGTTACTAAATTACTTATATTACTGTATCCAAGACTGAGCTATCTCTCTTTGCCAAAATCTCTAGTCTAGAAGTCACGACAGCTATGCTGTAATGATAGATTTCCCAATAATTACAAGAATTCAATTGTGTCAGCCAAATTGCTTCATAAACATGTAAAAAGTTGTTTACTGGAACTAGCAAAAATCCCATCACAAAAGCTTCCGCATGAGCTTTTCTAAACTGGTAGCTGATCTGCAATGACGACATGCTTGTGCTGAATGCTTCAAACGTAATCCTACATCGAAGGAGAGCTGGGAGATTTGCAAATCAAAAATTGTAAGCTGAAGCCAGCCTATATAATGTTTCCTAAGTCATTATCAATCAAACATCCGACACGTTGGGGCACTCTATATATGTGCATTTTCGGGTGTGCTTGAATCTAGACATGATAACCATTTGTAGATGCATTGTTCGAGCTACTACCAGAATGTAACAATACTTTATTGGCTGACGTCGACATTTCGGCGTTCAACACCTTCTTCGGAAAATGGAAAGTCGAAGTCATAAGTGACTATGGGGTCAGACGTCAAGGACAAAGGCGAGACAAAATGAAAAGAAGATTAGTTTAGAGAGCAGAACCAGAGCCAGGAACACTTTTTAACTCACCTCAGACGTAGCACAAGCGCTAGTTAAAAAACGGAACCTAATGCTAAACTGCGCCTCAATCCCTTTTATACCCAACGTGACCTGACCTCATGTAAAAGCACAAAAAGTTTATAAGATGCGAGTTCGGTAGTGATCAAATGCACTTGCCTTTTCTCTTTATTTTTGAACTTTTAACAGCTATTTAAGAAGCTTCAAACATTTTGTATGCTAGGATTGCGGGCTCAAACGACAAGATCTTCACTCCAGTCTCAATTTCAGCGTTTTCGCAGCGTTTTCTACATGTTACCCCGAGGTGTGAAGGACTTGGACATAGTTAGCCCATCTTTGTAGACAGTAGGGCCTCTCCAGTTTTCATAACAAGCAAGATTCCTTTTTGCCTGCCATTTGTTTCGGATGAGTTCAGCAGGGCAGTACGGCGATACGTACATCGTGCAGGTTTACAAGAGGCTGTTGTAGTGGTCGATATACCGCCCTCAGAACCGTATTTATTTGACCCCAGGCTGTATAGCATGCCCATACAGCATAGAGGGTGACTACATTGTATCAGAAATAATTTATCTGATCCCATGTTTACCACGTAGCGACACCTACATCGAAAAGACCGGCTACCCTCTTTGTGTTCGTATCAACATCTAGATGGGTTAAATAAGTGCCCTCCAAACCTCTGGGGCAACATCGTAAAACAAGTTTCGAAAACGCTGAAATAAATCGGAGTGAAGATCTTGTCGCTTGAGCCCGAAATCCTAGTACGCAAAACATTGGAAGCGTTTTGTAACATTTAGAAATCCAAAAATGAACAGAGAAGAAGAGTGCATTGCGATCACCATCGAACTCGCATTTTGCCACTCCCTCTTGGTTATGCATGAATTTGATTTACGTTGACGTATGGAAGTGAAGTTAGGTGTATGTCAAGAGGCGCGATTTTTATTGCCAGCTGGTAAGTCTTCTGCAAATTTTTGAAAGTATATGAAATCTAGAAGAAGATATATTAGATAGATGCATGAGTTGTTCAATATTGATACTTTGGAAAAAATTCAAAACAGCAATTTTGAAGGTCAAAAGCTTATGAAAATGCATCTCGAAACAGAATCGTAAATATTTCAGTCCGATTCATAGCAAAAAAATCATAAAACTCACAGGTGGTGACCTCAGGCAAATAGTAAGCTAATGATTTTATCTGGTAATTTCTAAAGAGTCGCGCATTAAACTGGAGTTTTAAGTTGGTGGCAGCCGAAAAAACCGTGCCTCTTGAACATCTCCCAGTGAAGTTGAGGCACAGTTTGACAATAGGTGGTCTATTTTCAACTACCGCTTGTGCTATGTATAAAGTGAGTAAAAAGTGTTTCTGGCTCTGTTTCTAATCTCTCGACTAATCTTCTTTTCGAGTTTGTTTCGCCTTTGTTCTTGACGTTTAGCCGCATAGCCATTTATGAAATCAGCTTTCCAAGCTCCGAAGAAGGTGTTGAACGCCGAAACCTCAGCCACTGAAGTATTTTTGTTACCAATCTTGATAGTAGCTCGAAAACTACACTACTCTGTCTACGCTCCATTTCTTTTTCTCTCAGGCCTCTTTCCAAAGTTATCAATTCGCCTACTCTAATGTTTTTTGTCCAGCATCTCTCTGATCAACTTTTGGGCATTTGCAGGGGCAATAGCGCACTGGTCTCGATAAAAATAAGAATTTAACTCATTGACTCTCAAACGTCCCTTATCAGAACCAGATGGTAGCTGAACGAAACAATACATTGAGATTTGTGCCTTTACATGAACGACAACGATGCTTTATAGGAAAGCAAGATTATAATAACATACGCCATGCACAAAAAAAAAGAACTTTGAACCGGTTGAAGATATAAATGTAACTATTCTAAACCGGGTCTTATCACAGCGAAAAAAAGTACTTGATACAGACTAATAATACAACTCAGAATCGATGGCAGAAAATGGTAATATGAGCGGTTGCTGAAACAAGGCTTATTATTAAGTCGCAAAAATACAACCGTATACCCTATGGACAAATAAGGAACACACAATGTAGGCTGACATGTGATGAAGGTTTGTTATTGGAGGGATTGTCATATAACATCATTCATGGAAGCATGTCATTTAGCAAATAAGGTGAGTGTCATAGAGGTCGGTCATTCAAGCAAGTCATGAACTTAACACTCCAAAATTGTCATGAAGCAAAGCTATACTAACAATAAGTATTATATAGTTTAAGATCTAGCTGTAGTTAATTGCTTGAACTTGAAGTCGTCGCTGGGGAAACTGTCTAAATATTTCTAATTGAGTTATATGCATTCATGAAGTTATGTTACGTCTATGCTCAGTGTGTGGGACATTCAGGTTACAAAATTCATTGCAGAAAATCTGTTAAAAAGTTCGCGAATGTTTTCCATATTCTATCAGTGGCAGGGATATAAATCCCCATCAAAGGCAGCGTCCAGACAGATTGACTTAACTTTTGTTTCATGAGATTTTTTGACATTAACAAAACTTGATGACATTAAATAAAGCTTTTTTTCTAATTTTTAAGATTCTTTTTTGGGCAATCTTTTTCAAGGGCCATGGACGAGTGCCCGGTTGTAGGCTTGTCTGAAGCAAACTTGAAGTAAACACTTGCGATCGTGCTCGAAAAGGGCGGAGAGCTCAGTAGATTTCGCTTGAGGTAGGGTGGACACCAGAGTGGGGGCCCGCACACAGCTTAAGTAAATTGCAATTAAGTTTTGTCCTTTTTAGATGCAGTGTTTGGAGACTGAGTTTGCGCAGTATTAGCTCGAAGAGCTTATGCCCAATCACGATAGCAATAGAGATTGAAATCTGCCCGGACGCTGCCTATTTGCCGGCCCTTCGCGGATTACTGGTCCTTACGCGGCACACAAAAACGTGTGCAAAAGGACCACTAGTTTGCGAAAGTGGCACTTATGCTTTGGTATCCGTTCCTTTGCCTTCTGGTCAGCGCCTGTTTGGACTACCTAACATCAAAACGCACATACATGATTGGTTTGCAATTTAATTAATTCAATAATTACCCATAACCACCCACTTGTAACTTCTTTGGCGGTGCAGAGAGACGAATTAGCGAGGCAGAAAAAGGATGCAACATTTTCAAATGCGATACATAAACGTCGAACAGCTCCGACGTGAAGCCACACTCTTCACAAACAAATACCTGTGACAGCCATATAGATTCCTTCTAAAAAGTTGAGCACTCCAAAAACTGAAACAAAACCTTATTCCGTCTTTCCTTATATCCGTAGTTATGAAGGACTCCATGAACTTTCCTCAAATGCGATTCTAAGGAACAACGTTGCGTGAACGACTTGTCGCACTGCTCGCATTTGTATGGACGCACACCTAAACGGTAGGTGTCGTACAAAAAAATGAAGACCGTAGGTTTTCCTGGTAATTTGTGCAATAAACAAGTTTTACGATGTTAGCGAAGAGGGTGCAGGCCATTGTCATAAGAAGTGCGCATGTTGTATCAAGTCTTCTAGATACGTGGTTAATCCCAAGCAAACAACAATGCTAAAAAAAGCACAAGAGAAAACTCTGTGTGTGGGCCTCTGCCTCGATTATGCAATTACACACATTAGCAGGAAAGCTATGAATGTACACATTCGAACCGAAAATTCTGTGAAAACTTGTTACCGTTCAGAGGTAGAACTGAATCAAAAGACACAGAATTTCGCTTCAAATGGTGCCGACAACATACCGTACAGATGGTAGGACAGTACTGAAAAGGGAGATCCGTTTAGTCTAAGTGGCCTTTTCATGTCACTGCTATACCACATTGCAAAGCATTAAAGGTGTTGTGAATTTGTCTTCATTATCTGCCAAACACTTCTGAACGACGAGTTATGAGCGTTTCTTAGGATGAAGAATTTAGTGCGCATCTCGGACAAAAATCATCCAGAGTTGCTCAAATGATCCACCGTCAATCATCAAAGCCCTTCATTCAACAGGTAACTTCTGACTAACACACTCATACATACGATCCTACCACTGCTGTGCTTGGGCACTGAAAAGACCGTAACGGTGGGTGTACCTAGATTCCGCGTTCATTATTTCTCCAAAAAACACTAATAACTCGTATTCCAGAGGCGTTTGGCAGATAACGAAAGATTTGGAGAGTTCAGTACTCTTCAAACCGGCATAGGAATCATTCAAAAAGGCCACTTTGACTAAAGGTCCTCCCTTGTGAGCTCAGTACGAGGACTATGGCCGCGGCATATCGCCCGCGATTTCAGTCGCGATCTGGCAATTTGCCATATTTCTTCAAAATTCAATACTGGTAGCTCAAATGCACAGCATGTATATCTTTCGTAGGTTGATAGAATGCTCTGTCTTTCGTACATTCGCATATCCCTGATCAGTTACAAACAACTGGAATATTGCCACATAGCGTCGCAACTGAAATCGCGTGAAGTATGCCCACGACCTAGGTAAATTGGATGAATAACGGTCTCGTCACTAAACTCGCCAAATTCATTCTGCCCAGTTCTCCCCATACCTCCTATTTCTTCACCTGTTTGTCGCCCCACACAAAAGTAAACAAAAACACAAACTACAGTTTTCAAAAGAAATAGCAGCTCGTCTTGAGCTGGTTTGCCATTTGGTTTGTTTTAGTCTTTGGTGCTGCCTTATTTTCATCCTTTTCTTCACAAATTTCAATAAATAGTCTGATGAAAGGTCGAAACGGATTTTGGTCTATGCATGGCAAAATGATCAAGAAGTCAGGTACGAAAGAGAGAGATTGAAAGAATGTTAATTCCTTGTCAAGGTACAAGCATTTGCGTGTAAGGCAAAAGGAACGATTTTTGAGATGGGCAAATCATAGCGTGTTTAGTGCTTATATCGTTCTAAAAAAATCCAAAAAAACTGGAGGAGATAAACTAGATAGTTCGAGTGAATCCTATTTTCTTGAAATCCACAGAGCAAAAAAACGGTACACCTTTCATCCTCCTTTCGTGATTATGTGCTAACGTAAAGGAATGTTCGTAAAACGTTTGTGGAACTAATGATAACTCTGAAATGCTCAAAAATACAATGGGTTGACCGAAATGTAAAGCTAATTTCGAGAGTTTTCAGTACATCTTGGTCTCCGTTTGCCGAGTTAACCAAAATTAAGTTCGGTGAATCAACGGCACCGTCCACATAAATCTGAGGTTGAAGAATTCTAATGCGTACGTACGGGTTCCCACTAATAAACTGCAACAACTGCCCAGGTCACGAACAAAAGGTTTCGAAGCTAGAAAATCGCTCCAGAAGCTGAATGAGATTGTCGCGCCCATCAACTTAGGTGGTCTCAAGGCAACGAGACCGAAAAAACTTCAGGGTTACTAAAATGTAAAAAATCCGCCTTTCACAGTAAAATGGTGAGTGTTCAACATCATTGCGTACACTGAAGTTCCGTTTTGGACTCATTACCTTTAGACCACCAACGTTGACGGGGAACAACCTCTGACGGACACATCTGACTTCCGAAGCGATCCACTTGCCTCTTAACTTTTTACAGCTGGACAATTTGTGCAATTTCCTACTTACTGCATATATCATATCAAGACCTTATCGACCTCACATTCACGAGTCAGAAGTCGAAATGGCCAATCTAAACAGGGAAGGATACTTGGTGACCCTGGCCATTCATAATGATTTGTACATTAAAAAATGCGCCTTTTGATGCTGGTTCGCATACTGCCTTCCATATCTGCGGAACGAGAACCTGGGTGGAATTATAATTATTTTTTCAAGAATGAATTGCCCTACTGCGGAGGGTGAAAATCATCAATAGAAATTTTTATTTTCTCTTCAAATGAATACGATCTAGATAGGTATAAATACAGAATACATCTTTCAAGATTCTCCTCAATAGCTTCAAACGGTAAAATAGACCAAATTGGGTGATTTCAACTACCTAAAAGGACGCTAATTTTCTACGAAAAAAGTTCAGCCTTAATATGATCGTTTCGCAGATTTCGAGCACAGATTTAGAATCAGCGTTTCGAGGTGCACCTTATGTCTTATGTCTTACGAGACCAAAGTGCCGCTACGCGGCACTTTGGTCTTGTGAGTTAATAAAATATAAAGTTAAGCACTAGAAGTGTTCGTGGTACTTTAGTTGTCTAGACAATGCCGCTTCGCGTACTGTGCTTATAACCCGTTGGATAATGTTTGCACTATATTGTCCCTTCGTTACTCAGAACAGTCTCAGATTGCCCCTTCTCAAGGGGCAATCTCCGCTAACGTTTTTTTTTTCAGAAAAATTAGAGGCTCTGAAATTATCATTGCTAAGCTAAGATTTGTTAGCCGTATCGTATCGCACACCTTCGAAGATATCGCCACTCCATAGTTTTTTCTTATTGCGCATTCAAAATGACTCTTTCCAAGCCTTGTCTAAAGTTGTACGCAATGGCAATGTTCCGAAAAACATTGCCATACTTCTAGGTACATGATGTGAATTTTCGCAGCACTCGTGGCAGATGTCTTTAAAGATCTCAAAAATCTTTTTTTGTGATGATCTTAGCTCATGTCTGCATAATGATTTTCTTTCTTAATTTTTCAGTGAATAGCGCTTAGAAAGCACGATCTGAACGTGTAATATATCAGAAGAAAAACTTTGACCACCATGGTTTGTATTTTCGCACCCACTCTTTTTGCAATCAGTGAAGCTCTGCGGCAGCACTCAAAATGTGTGGGTCATTGGCGAAAAAAACTGCCAAAATATTTAAAACAAAAGTTTGCATCAAAACGTGGCTTTCGCTCGTCCAGACAGAGCTAAGTACACAGCATCTGTAATGATATTGCTGTTAGAGGCTCTTTTTGGAGTTTTAAGAGGGAGGTAATCTTCGCGATGACCACCTCTCCAAAATTTCACCTCTCTCTTAGCAAAAGTCGTATCGCATACAACTTTTCGGTATTTAGATTAAAACTCAAAGCCATTTCAAACAAAATGCAGATGAAAAGGATCATGTGCAAAAAAGTTGTATTTGTCCATAACGCTGATTTCTTGATCAATGTTCCTGGTCGTCTCTCTCAACAAAATAGGAAATCATCCTCTACTAATGTCGGATGTCAGCTTACATTTCATCCCAGCTGCTTAGGCAGTCAGCTTTTCATTATTATTGACATTAGAGCCTTAGCTGAACCACTGCATTTGAATATCTAACCGTAAGAACTGAGGCTGGTTCTGTGCAAAATGATAAATCAACTTACTTTTTAGACGACTACTACATTTTTGAAAGAAGATTTGTAATTTCAAAATGCGAATTTCTTGATCAAAAACAACTTATACTCTATGCACGAACGACGTAAAATTAGCTAAGAACCGATCACTGCAGTTTTTCGGATATAAACTGTTCAACAGCGCAGTATCACATAAGAATGGTAATGGATTTTTGTAAAAATTCAATGAACCGAGCAGATCGGCATAAAAGTCTTGGTGACATTTGAGGAATGCCTCGTATAGATGAAGGTAAGCTTAAAATGGCCTTTCAAAAAGCAGTGGTGGCAGTGGTTTTGTCCAACAACGCCTACTGATATGGAAGCAATGTTTGAAGTGAGATCAGAACAGCCGATATTTCAAAAAAGCAACGAAGCCATTTCAAATTCTGGCAGATGCAAAAACTGTCAGGCAAAGTTTGCTCATTTGGTTTTGCGACTCTCTTGTTTTGATTCTTTGTGAGTTTTCGACCGTTCCGGTGCTCATAAACCCAAAACGGTAAACATGTGGCACCCTTTGTGGTGATGTCATCGCTGTACATAGCCACATGTTTACACTTAATGGGGGGCCCTGCGAATTATTATAGTAGATGATATACATTGCATGCTATTAGGTCCTCCCAAAAGTTCTTTCGTACCAAATTCAAAAATTCATAACTTGTTGAATTCTTAACGAATCTGCAAGAACTAAATTTTGTATAAGAGAGGAGCTCATGCTCTTTGCAACTGTATTTGAACTGTTCGTTAATGTGTACAAATAAAGGAGATAGAAGCTCAAAACCAGAATCACTCAAAATTTGAATTTTTCGTGTAGGGTCATAAAAAATCGAAAACTTGCAACAAAAATCGGAGCAGTCAGTATTGTAGGCTCTTTCACAAGCTCTTTCCAACAGTGCAAAGTTTGCGCCGATTGAGCGTCTCTGTGAAAAGTTATGAATTCCCTGAAAAATGCCAAAATAAATCAAATTCGCCCTTTTGTATTGCTTGCTCGAAAATCATAACTTCTCATAGAGACGCTCAATCGGCGCAAACTTGCAATGTTAGAAAGAGCGGATAAAAGAACCTACAATATCGATTGCTCCGATTTTTGTTGCCAAATTTTGAGTGATTTTGGTTTTGAGCTTCTATCTCCTTCA